ACTTGGAATTGTTTGGTGTTCATTCTTGTCTTAAGCAGAAATGTTAAACATGGATGTAAGTCTGTTTGTGCTTTCAGCAGTTCTCAGTAATAATAATAATAATAATGTTAGATCTTGTCGATTATTCACTAAAAGTAACCAATCATTGAATATAAAGCTATTCTACAAAACGCTAATCTTGACTCGAATAGCTTAGTGTTAAGAACGCTGGTATTCGGGTTCTAATCTACAAGGGGATATCAGTTTTATTGAGATGACGAAAATGGTTGACAGAAGAGTATCAACAAGCAACTAACCTTTATCCAGCGTTTCCGTTCGGTTGCCTTTAGCCACCTAACGTCAGTACTAAATCTCCTCTAATCTTTATAGATTTCTGGAGAGGTGTTAAAAGAAGTATCAGTTAGCCTTGTGGATAACTTTCAGCGTTTGAAGTGGTCAGTGTTGGGTTGGGGTTTTACTGGGAATACCTTCATTCAGTGGAATGTAGGTGCACCCAGCCTATGAGCACCAGGTAGGACGAAACACGCTTCATGGGTTCCACTGCTGACCACTACCAAGTAAGTTATACTAGTGAATCTTCAAGCAATATCAAGGCTTCTGTATAGAGGCCTATGTGCTCAATGTTGATCACTTGGTTCCAATATAACGACGGGGAATTACAAGTATCAATATGAAAACTTGTATGGTATTCTGTAGAACATCATTTTGTGATTATTGATGGTACGAGGTCAGCGTTTATTCCTAGTAGAACTTTGCGAGATAAAATCTGAGTGGCAGATGCCTTTATTCATAAGAAATATATCTAAGACTGTTCCATTTTCACTTCAGCATATACTTTTAAAATTATTGGTGAAGCTAATACCGTTATTAGAAAATATTTCACGCCTACATTTAACAGATCTTACGAAACCTATGTGTTCATTTACTGTTACCTCTCATATTTATTTTGACATGATACAGGATATACAATCTTTACAAATTGCTAGTAAATCGCATAGTTGAGTTTTCTTAGCTAAATATTTTTTATTCCTTTCGGTTGTGCCTTCAAAAGCTTTCAGTGGACGCTAATCACCATAAGTCGTGGGCATTGTATAACTCCATCAACCTGTGGAAAATACGACGACGATCTTTCCAGTCAACACGTCATGTATCTGCTAAAATCATCTGGCGGGATCGAGATGCTTTAACTGTTGCACTCCTGTAATTCAGTTGTAAGTTAGCATTCAGTGGAATTGAACTGCGATTTAGTATTACCACTAGATAAATCCAACAGCCTAGACGTTTCGCGAGCATTCATTTACAGTTTCCTAGCGATTCTTATCATTCAGTAGTGATTAGGGATTTGTGTTAGTTAAACTACGTAATTAGGTTTTTCTAGGTGGTTGGATTATTGAGCATAGCTTAAAGTGCTGAGCTCAGATATTTAGTTAACTAAAGAGTAACGGTAGTTGTTAAAGTAAATGTTTGGCCTATTTGTCTGTAAATCTACTACACTCAATTTTTTGTTTGTACTAATTATATTTAAAAGATTTACTAAATTGCATACCAACATATGACAAAGAAACAGGAGCGCAGAATGATAATGTTAATTTCTTATTTACTTCGTTTGGTCTCAATTAACCGATTATGTGGTGAAGAGTATTGGTATCTTTAAATTAAAATATTACAACTGTTCAATTTTATGCATTCTAATTTTCTTTCGTCTTTCCCAATTGTTCTTGCCTTTTATTTTCATTTCTACAACGAATTACTTCGTGATATTTGCAATGAAGTTACTAAAATTAATTACTTTGATATGTATTCAAGTAGATCACACACCTTGAAGGAGAAAAAGGGAGTACGAGACAAATGTACATTACTAGCGTATAATTGACTGGACATTTTGCATGTCAAAAGTATTTTTGTTGTTAATATGCGAAATGGCTTATTACAATAGATAATTATCAACACAACTGCTTTCATTAATGTGATTTTCACATATATGCGTCTACCTAAATAGGGATCTGTGTTATGACTATCACATTAGGGACGATACGCTCACTTATTCTATCCTTCATGTTAATATAACACTTGAAAGTCACCAGTGCGAGATTGCCTAACTTGCTAATTACCTTTGTTTATCTGGTGCCAGAAAGTGTACAACGTATTAGGTATTGCTACGCAGTTGAAGAACCAATAACGAGATGGAAAATACTATCAGATCACAGCACCTTTAGGTTAATTGGTCCATTAATGAATATATATGTAAATGAAGAGAAAACCACTTGGCATTTCGGATTATATAACTGTGTGACTTAAACACTGACATTATAATGACAATTTACTTTGTAGGGTGTCACACAATGAAACAATATTTTCTTACTAACAGAGTAACTGTGTTAAAGAACTAGAACAAGGAAATATAATCTTATCAGTGCTGTATGACTTACTGAAGTCTGTAGGGTGTAACATACCACAACTTTTTGGAAGTCCTAAAATTCACAAACCCGAAATTTCTCTTCATATACTTCTTACTACGCAATACTCATCGTAACGCAAAGTCACAAAGTGGTCGGTCGGTATCTAAAAGTCCTTTCAAAACTAGTTGGCAAAAATGCTTTCGCTTTTGTCTGTAAAGTGAAATAGGTGAGTATGAGTGAAAATATCGCTATATGTATCATCACCATTCACGTATATACAGATAACTGAGATAGACGATTCCATGTGTTAATAAGTGATGGAGAAACAAATCAACAGAAGATTTCTTGAGTCTAACCTCAAGGAATTAATTCTCAGAGGCACCATGAATGTAGGCTATATCTTCAGTAATGCGACAATAGAGAAGCGAATGGAGTCACAGTCAGATTGGCATTGGGCTCAATTCTTTCACACTTCCACAAACTAGAGAATAAACTACTGAAACAAACCATTAACAAGCTATATATGTCGCCGATACCGTGATGACACACTGATTATCATTGATGGTAATATGGGTAAGAAAAAGCTATTACGAAGTTTAACCATCACTTCTGCTTCATTTTCCTTCTCTATAGAGGGAGAAAAAGTCAACAAGCTACACGTTACGATTTTATGTTAGGTCGACAGGGAAATAGCTCACTTCGCCGAAGTTAAATATCTGGCAGACGGAGCAACGAAAATCTGCTAAGATGACTAGGAACTAAAAGAGTGTGAGTCTATTTAAATTCGCTGGTTGAAATATGTCATCATTTTAATTTAATGAAAGAGCATATGAACAAAGTCGGAATAAAAATTTAGGTAGAAACTGTTCGAAAGATAGCGTTATTCATACGGATTCAGTTAAATAGGTATATACCTAGTGAGATACTGTTTCACAGGCTTTCGAGGAACACAACAGCTAATCCCATCTGTCGTTTTTTAGTGAACGAGATTTTTGGAATCAAACAAAAGACCGGTTACCCGAATCATGTTACTTCCATGTGTATTTACCAACTTAATTGTTCCTCTTGAGACATATACAGCTAGATAACTGAAATAACGAATTACCAACTTTCTTGGTTGGTTAAAGAATAAGTTAAGTACCTAGGAAGCTTTATTCTGTATCAGCTGGTTGATTACGGTCACAGAGTGGTTGAAACAAAAACGTGCGAACTGATTTATCACGTCCCATCAAACCTTTCTGATAGAGTTAGAAGCTGTCCTTCACTTTTAGCTGAGTCATTAAGAATTTGATTAAACAATCCAAAATTTTTGTATTTGAAAAGAGTTTATGAGGACCTTATTTCTGCGTTGACCAGGAGGGACTTAATAGATGATCTTGTCTATTGATTATTGAAATAAATTTCTTCCCTTAAGTTTTGTCATCCCTATGTGTTGTAAAGCGTAAGAAGATCTGATTGAAAATAATACTGTTCACTTGTTTACCTTTTTGGGATTCAACAGTAGTGTTGCAAAACAGATCTCATGTCTCTCGGTGGCAATGATTTCTTTTTTGGAATGATTTACTGCACTATCAAGCTACTTTACAGATTGTTTATGTTGATTAGTTGAAATGAAATAAGTTCTTAACTTTGTTAAGCATAACATTTTAAAAAAACTCATAAGGTGACCTACTACTTTAAATTGTAATTACTAATGCATAACATTCTAGAATAACAGAGAAACATAATAATCTTGGCCATAAATGGTTGCCATTTATAGCAAAGACTGTACATTTAAAACATTCTGAGAGTGACAGTGATTGCTGCTTACAACTCAGTTCAGTTTGGGCCGAACATTTATAAAAGTAATTGAGATAACCCATAGAATCTATTCCTAGTGAAGGAAAAATATGACTCTTTCCTTTTGGCCTGTATAAAATTTGGTTAAAGTTGGAAGATTAGCGTCAACCATCTTTATAAAACTGTGAGGTAGTGATTTTTATCTGAATTTTGACTCACATTAACAACTTGGCTTTAAATTATTCACCTGTTTGTTGTGTAATTGTCCCAAAAATGGACCTTTATGTAAAAAGCCATATGCAGAACATCGAATAGAATACTTTTATTGGTACTTCCCTTTTGACTACCTTTAATTATTGCAGCCTGTGGACAATGCTTTGGCATGTGAAACAATGGTACGATACTGGAGTCTCAGTGGGAATAAAATCATTCACTAAAGTGCGGGTACATACAGCTGACTAGTCCCAAATAGCATGAAACTTATGTCTTGAATTCCACTGCTGGCCACAACGAAATCAATTATAACATATGATGTCTTAGCATAGATAAATAACAATGGTCAATATGTTGTGTCAGTTAATTACTTCCTTAAGAGAAATACTCTTTATTAACTTGATTCAGGCATCTAACCAATTTTCTAGAATATGGCCCACTGATCTGCTTTGTGTTCCACAAATGTTTATATTATACTAGGGCAGAAATTGTATTCTTGGCCTATTTGAAGTTCGTTTTCGAAAGTGATTTTCACCTTTACCTATAAATGGTGAATTCTTGGTTCTTTTAAATGCTTAACTGCATTTATGTTGAATTGTTTTATTTTAGTGTTCGGCGTGATTTATGAAGTTTCCGTTGCTGCAGTAACTAAAAATGGATTCGGACAAGAAGCAGTAGGGCGAATTCCTATGCCGGAAGCAGGTAAATAAGTTGTTAGTTTTGTTTTTGGCTACGTCTTCTATCCTTTTGTTATTGGTTCGAAGGTGTGGTTAATTATAGGATATTATAGACAGGTTCACGATGCTATATAAATGTTAACCCGATACTCAGTTGCACGGCATTTTTTAAACGCATCACTGCCGTTTCTGAGCAACTTACCGAAGTGGATCAGGAATTTCGTTACAGGGTGATCGATAATTCGAAACCCGGTTGTTTGTATATCTTAAATTCAACTGAATATTTAGAGTGTCACAAATTCATTGTGACTGACAAATGTTAGGAATGACCAACGTTTTAGATTTGCAAATCAAGTCACATGTCCTTTTTTAGGTGTCTGCTTTTATTGATGACGTTTATACGACACTAAGCTGCTGCTATCTAGATGCCTCATATTGAAAAGCTTGAGGATGTGATCATAATAATAAAAGGAAAATGCATGAACAAGTTCGAAAAAATTCAATTCTTAGTGGTAAGTCGAAGAAAGCCAAGAATGTAAATGGCAAAGAAGTTCAGCAAAATTATTATGCATATGCTTTGCATAGGATTACCACTGACTTAACTGGATAGATATTTCTCATATCTTTGCGTCATGTCGTCAACTACAATGTTTGTTGAATCATAGTGCAATACTGTCAAAACGCATAGGTCCTGCCTATATAGCTGAGTTAGGAGCATATTTCATTTTTCCAATTCCTAAACGTAAATATTGTAAATTCTTAAAACTTGATGTGTAAATATTAATTTCCTCGCTTTTTCGTGCTTACTCTCATCATGACTGAATGTAAAATCGGTCAAAAGAACTTCAGTGGCTTTTTGTTTGCCTAAGTGACAGGTTTAATTACCCATGAGCTATTTCTAAACTTCTAAGTGAACATGACCTATTTTACTTGAAAATGTTGGAAATGTTTTTTCATAAAAAAGCAGTGAACTTAGGAAGATTTCATGTTCAACTTTCGTTTTGTCTATCTGCTTAGCTTGTGATGAACCAAAATGCTGTTGTGGAAATCCTTATAACAAGATGAAGATTTTTCTGCTTAAATGTCCCAAATATCTGTTTGAATGCGTTAGTTAAAAAATGATGGTTATGTCCAGCACTGTACTCTGATTGCATATAGTTATTCAGTTCAGGTAGATATTAGATGGTTGTATTCCTTTTCACTGGAAAGGGTGAATCTTTATGCGGATAATGTATGTTAACTGTTTCCTAATGGGTTTGTGGACATGATTACCGTAAGGTAACATTTGTAGTACGTGCGTTCGCGAAATACTGGGTTTGCTTACATAGCACAAAGTAAGCAACCTGAACTGGTCAGGAATCGATGAGTAATGTATCGGAGAATATTCAAATTCACATAAAAACAAGCACTTAGAAGCAATAATCATCCACCTGAGAACACGAAAACACAAATTATGAAGCAATATTAGCTCAGTCTCCGTCAGGAATTCATGGAAGTCATGGAGCAGTGGACAAATATTTCGTCTATTTTGTCCATTCCCCAACAACTAACACTTGAAGGGAAAAAACTATCATTAATACATCCAGTTAGAACGAAACGGTCACACTATCCGTTCTCATTCAATTCACACTACAGTAGAACAATAACCTATAGATTTTAATAGACAATAATAAGAAATTTCGATATGAATGACCCTCAGTTACCACTCCGCTTTAACACAGTGGCAAATGATAGTGCGTTCGTTTTATATTCAGTAACCGAAGCCAGTAACTATGTACCTTGAGTGTGAAACATAACAGCTGTTTAACTCTCATATGTAATCAATCATTTCATAATTGATATCATACGGTCAAAATAAATTAGATAAGGTTTTGAAACATTTTAGTTGTCAGACTCAAAGTCCCTGTATCCACTTAATTCTGTTATAATTTTCAGTGTTTACAATATCATTCGATGCCGGAAGCCTTATCACTAACACATTTTCTTTCTTACACTTTAGCATGTGTACAGAAAGAAATGGAAATTCTACAGTAACTAAGCCTAACTACTTCGTTATGATGACTTGTTTTCTTAGAACCTATTGACCGTAAATTCAGTGACGGTGTCGTTTTCTGAATTATAAGTTTTGATTAAAGTTAACAACTACCTTGAGAAAAGTTTTTTTAATCGCGTGTTTACGTATATGTATTAATTAGAAACTATTACTATGTTCTCTTCATCTTGGACTGTCAGTTACATACGTACCAGTGATTGTTACGCAATCCCCTATGTCTTGGTATAGTATTTCTCTTTAGATAAGACCAAAACAAACATTTTCCATTTTGGCATTTGAGAATTTTATAAAGTTTGGAGGTAGTTTTTTGATTTACTTGATTTTCCTAGTAATAAATGATAGATTAAACAGGTTATCTACACAAGTGGACTGAAACACCAAAGCTTCATTTTTGCCTTCAGATATAGTACTTTCCACCATTTTGTATAATAGTTACATTTCTCATTGTTAACGTGGACAATAAATCTTTCTGTCATATACCTAAAGAGGTACTCAAAATGACAATAGATGAACAAGATGTGTGTAATCTTTAACTTATTATTTTTGAAAACACTCACTGTAAGTTAATAATAACTCATATTGTAGTTAGATAACTGGTTCTTAAAGCAGCCTTGTGTTGTTATCAAAACTTAAGCAGAAGTTTGTGTAAGGTAAAAGCTCCTTATAAGAATGCATATAAGTAGTATATGTAGCACCATCAAAAATGATACTTACTGACTAGTGAGGAATCAGGTGAAAAGAATATACAATATTAGACTGGAATGTTAAGTTCAAGAATAGTGTGGAAAAATATATAGAATAAGAGATTATCTTAAAGCGGATGGTGTATTGTTAGGTTCCGTATTTTTATCACTCCAAGTTGTATCTTCACAATGAATATTTCAGCTGCTTCTCTGAAATTCTGATGATCAGTAGTAACGTCAACAATTTCATATAAGACTTAAATATGTACAATATGCCATCAGTGTTCCATAACATGAATGTATTGACTTCTCCTTCTAAGTGTTTGTAAGCATAGTGGTATCAGTTAAGAAGATTGATCCTGTTTTATGTTTTTCTCCTTTATTTTACTACAAAAAGAAGAAACATGAAAATGCTTCGAAAAGCCAGTTTAATTAATCTAGCCTCGTGTTCATGTCGGATTGCCTCAACAAAGTATTATCTCACTAACTATTTCGAGTTTCCATAGAGTTTACAGTGGGTTGTTTTTATTCTTCCCAGACCACTACCTTCAGAATTTGTTGATCATATAATGTACAACCTAACTAACGTCACAAACAATTTCCTGAGAAATAATTCTCAAGAGGTTACATAGATGCATATTGTAATCAGTGTCGGATAACTGAAAACTTATTCTTCTTCCTTATGTTTTGTCCACAAGGAAATTATTCATTTTAGGCATAGTAAATTTAATTTTGAAGGCTTGTGAGGATTTTATTGATTTTAGGTTGCTATTCAACATCCCTGGAAGGGTCATGGTTGCTCACTTCTAAGTGTCCCAAACTACAAAGAAACAACTATTTATTACTCCCATGTTTTCAATACTTCTCTTTCTGATATTAGTCTATGATGAAGTTAATAAAATTCTCACAAGCCTTCAAACAGAATTAATTTAGTGCTTATTGGTAAGCAGCTTTGAGGAGTGATTCCTTAAGTTCTAAAGAGAAGTCGTGACCAATAGGGTCAAATATAAGGACAGTTACTCAACGACAGCACTGAGTAGAGGTTGCGCTATTTTGTGAGTTAACGGAGGTAGAAAGTGTGGATCACTAGATTCCGACCCAGTGGCTGAATGGTGAAGTGCTTGACCACGAAACGTGGTCGTGGTTTCGCCCCCTTACTGGCGGGATCATGCGTGTGCAATGCTGAGGGATTCTATAATGGGATGAAACTGCTATCTAGTCCTCCCAGGTTTCCAATGTTCCTACAACTGATATCAGTCCATAGTGAATACCAACCTGAAATAGTAACTTTAGTTGCAGACCTATATTTAGTAATTCTACTATGATACATGCTTCCATTCAACCTTAACTATTGTGATGAATGAATCTGTTAGTACATCGCATTCGGACATTTTTAACTGTACTCAAGATAAATAAAGATAACTCATCGTAGTACATAATCCATGTTTAAATTTCCTAATATTTCCCATTTAAATATCTAGTTAAATCCATCATTGTATAGATAACTGGCTAACTGTACCCATTTATTCATGAATAAAAACAAGACATTTATCAGTGCAGTAATATTTTTTTCAACGACTTCATTACCAAGCTGTACAGTCGTATTTATAGTCTGTAAAATGACCGATAAGTGCACTAAAAGGCTCTTTAATAATCATACAAATTATACAATTAGTGTTGGTGGTGAAGTTTGTTAGTTTAGAAGGAACTAAGAATGGGTCACTGAACGAGGTACGAAATGGTAACAAGTGGTTAGATCGGAGACAAATACTGTCAGATAAGTGTAAAATGATGATGATTTATATGAGGCATGCAACATGGGTCAATAAATAAGGATTCTCATCAAAGTCAGGCGTTTTAGTTCGCAGAACTGAACGAATTTCATAGGCGAAATATATGATACAGTTGATGGTCTAAGTAGTTCTCAATCATCACATAATTTATGAACTTTTTGATAGTTGCTAAAAATTTACAGGAATCGCTGCTTATGATTGTAGATAATGATAAGCTAGATATCCTGGTAAAAAAAGAAAGAAAGTAATATTTTAAATGCGTCAGTGTTAACACTTATGAATTGGCCACTGAATGGTGAATGCTTCGATTTTCCAAGAGAAATAGTCTACAATTAAAAGCTTTACTTCGAAGTGTGATTACAGTTTACTCCCTGAATGAAGTAACTTTTCAGACAGTAGCTCGAAAGTGTTAAACACTCCATCCTCCAAACGTAAGGACAATGAATGCTTATGTCCACGGAATTGCGAAAGAGTGAGTAACATGAGCCACATGTAG